AACTCGAGCCAAATATACACGTCTCTTTTGAGGAGAAACCATTCTCCAACGTAGTACGGCGTAGACAGAACAGAAGCAACAGACTCGCCGTATTTCACCATAACAATATACAGTATTTTTTAAATGCCAAATACAAAACAATAAAATTTTGACATATATTTTTATTAATATTAAATTTGACAGCCTGAAAATATATAATTTAGACTAGAGATATAGAAAGGACCAAATACTGTATTTTTATGAAATTTATTGAAAGAGTAAAGTTATTATGGATAATAGAAAAGTTAAGTTAGTTTTGATTTTTAAAAAAGGTTAGGCTTTTTTATTGATGATTTGATGTGATCGAAATTTTCCCTACCGTGAGAAAGTCTCTTTGTTGACCTTTTTACCAAAACGAAATTTCCCTATCGTGAGAAAAGTCTCTTTCTAAACTGAAATCTTACCCCGAGAAAGTTCTTTTATCGAATCAAAATCCACCTGTTGTGAGAAAACAGAACAGAATAGAGATGGGGTAGAGATGAAAGAGATGAGTTTGTTTATTATAGTGTTATGTTTTTTTGCCGAGTCTGTGATGTCTACTGGTTCCAGACGAGGGAAAAAATATAAAAAAGCATATAGTTGTTAATAAATATGAATTTTATAAAAACAATTTTATAATTTCAAAAAAATTTTTATTAATTTTCTCACTAAATTCTAACTTATAACACGAAAGCTCTTGCAATGAAATTTGCACCCAAGAACCTTCCTTGTGAAACTGCCGTAGTAGAAGCTTGTATCCTATCATTCGTGAACCCTAGAGATGGTGATGGTTAATTCGAGGTTAACTAATACAGTATATTATGGAACTTTTTAATAGGAGCAATGGATCGTCCACTTTTTGAGTGTGACACAGGCTTTAGAGTGTATATCAAGTCTTCTATTACGAACAAACACCCTTTCCACTAATTTATTTTTATGTTTCGAGAAATTATTCTTTTACAGTAAGAGAAATGTTGATTTCTTTTAAGAAAAAAATTTTTTTTCTTAATTTTCGATTCTTATTATTCGTTTATACTCTTTTTCTAAGCGTTAAATAGAATTTTTTATCCTATACTTCGTTATCTAAGGTTCAGTTACGATATCAAAGTATTAAGAATAATGAGGGTTGTTATTGATTAAAATAAATTTAATACATAATTTTAAATGATTTATGAAAAATAATATCGATGTAATTTTTTAAAAAATATCTTAAGTTGATATTGTTCATCGGAAATTGTGAAATTTGTGATTATTTCTAGTAAAATCCTCTAGGAATGTTACCATATAATATGACAATATGTAGAATCTTTAATTCGTTTCTCGGGAGTTCGAATCTGAAGTTTATCTACCGCCTGGTCTCTATATAATGCGTCTTAACTCTATCGAATATTTAGTCAGCATAATCTAAGGCTTCTAAATTCGATCAGCTCTAAGCACAAAGCAATCAAATAAAATATGATCAAGAATTCTGATTGGTTGAGAACGCGGCATGTCAGACAAGAGTTTTTGCTTTGTTTCGGACCCCAGATCCAAATTGGTCTTGCCGTGGCCTCTCCTTGGCAAATGCTTTTTCCTGTCGGATCACTAATAAATTTTAACCCTTACCATCCTTGCATAGGTCCTCAGTCTTCCGAATTCCCATAGGGTTTAACCCTAGGTCTAATTCAGTTAGAGTGGTGGTGTTCTTGCATGCCCTAACATAACGTTTCTCCTGCCGAATCACATATGTTTTTTATTTAGATTCTATCATGATGAATTCTTCTAGTATTTCTTTTGTATTTCGAGGATTTTTGGGAATCATCTCAAAAATAAGTCTGCCACCTTTTTTTCGCAGTTCTTGAAGAGTACATCTAATTACTATATTATCCGCCGCAAATCGTCTAATGACATTAATTTTATGTGATGTCAAATATTTTCCAGGTAAAAGATTTCGAGGTGGAAGTGCATCGAAATCCAGGTTTTCCTCAAAACGTGATAGTCACAATCTTCGCTCGAGAATGTATTGTATGGGATGAGTTTACAGAATACGTTTTTGCTTGGAATGTGAAAAGATCCAACTGGGGAAAGAACATCGTTTCGATTAAAAGTAAGAAGTGATAGCTGGACCAACGAATAAGATATATCGGTATTGTTGGGTTTTTTGCTTTTCCCATCTCAAAATTATTTCTTCCAATCGCAAGTCATCTTTCTTAAGAACAGATAAAGAGTGACTTTTGGATTGAATGTAACTTTGGTATATCCAGCAATTCTCAGATGATTCAAGTTTTGGTGATAAACGAAAGTCGTGCCTCTACTGTATAAGATGCACTCCAACTGATTCGTCAAGTCAAAATTCGTTAGAAGGGATTAATGGACATCAACCTTTCTGGCGAAGTAGATGTACCGTAGATGTGCCTAAAATGGAGTTTTTCGATAGTGAATTACCATTTATGTATGTATAGCCTGCATAAATAAAGTAGACGAACTCGGTGGTAATGTCATAAACTTTAGGAGAAATGAGACATCAACATTTTAACCGACTTGCATTTAATTAATTTCACTTATTTCCTTTCGCAATTGCGTGCATAAAGACTGCAGGGTAAGAAAATGCACCTTATATACTCGACCAAGAGGGCCCCGACAACTTCAGTGGAGTGTTGGTCAGAATCAATTTATTAAGACGTACGTGCGTACGTACGTATTTACATTACGAATTTACGATGTACAACAGATATCATGAAGTTTGCGATAATATGTAAATATATTTATTGTATTCCATATAATATACCTATCTAGAAAGTATGAAAAATCCTGTTCTACGATGTATATCCGAGACACTAGCTACGTAATGCTTTGGAGAACCATCCCGAAAATAAAAATGAAAATGTTTTACTTCTTTTTTCCTAACTATATACCGATGATACTATCTACCTATATCTGATATGACTATAATAGTTCAGTACTTAGCTAATAGTGCTACATTCCGTTTCGATATTAGAATGTCCAAAAATAAATATTCTACAAAGATTTAAAAAATAAAATACTAATGATATTAGAAAAGTCCCCCGTTTCAATAAGTACAAAAGAAAAATTCCACAAGACAAATTATCAAACTCTCATAACAGACTCTGTTAATCAAAGCAAGAGAGGAAAAAAAAAAGGAAAAAAAAAATTTCAATCACCACTGTTCCCAACCGTCAGTTTCTCCTTCTTCGTCGACCGCAGGGTTTTCTTTATCAAACCCGGAAGGGTAAGGCGATTGCGGAGTAAGATTATTTTTTGTGTTAACAGATTCACCCACAGGATTTTCTGTGGTTGGAGATATTAATGAGTTTTCTTGGGAAAAGTTTAGCTGGTTGTTCGATTCAGCCGAGATTTGCAAACATGACAGATCAATTGAAAGAGACTGCATCCCGGATTCCTCACTGTTTTCTGTCTGATTGACGTTAGTGACAAAAGAAGTTGTCCAAACAGAAGGGGAGAGATTGGTCGGCATTGTAGAGAGAATCGGATTATGAAATGAATGATATTCGAATGCATTTTGATTATTATCAAGAATGACATGATTATTAGGGCCTGGAAACCAATGGGTGGGAGGATTGTTGTTAATGTTCGACGGCAAATTTTCGAACTTGGAAGACGATACAGAATTTTGGATTGGTGTATTGTTAGGTCCCACGGGTGTTTCTACACCAAGACCAGCTGGTGAAGTAAATATTTCTTGTTGGCCGTTGGACCAGTAATAAGAATCGGAAGAACCTTGATAAAAGGAATCGAGCATTTGTTCAGACAATGGCGATACCTCTAAAGGAGAGGTCTCAAGTCCTAAAGAGTGAAATAAAAAGAAGGAACATTAATTTAATACTAGACGAAGTAAGTAGAAAAGGAAAGAAAAAGAAGATATATTCACTTTGCTCGCTCGGAAGACAATTACCATTTTCAGTGTTAAAGTTATCTGACGCGTCCCAGTAACATTCTTGTTGAAGTAATCCAGCCGCAGAGTCGCATTCTCTGTTGTTTTCATTGTTCATATTATTATTAGAGACCGTTTGAGGATAATGTAAAGATTGAATATTTTCTTCCGAATGTTTATTGTTCGATGAAGTTAGGGCGAATGAAAGGTTTGCGATACTTTGTGTGTTAAAAGGTCTGACCATTCTTTGAGATGATAAATCATCCTTAGATTTAGAATCATTCGGAGAACTTGCATAAGAAGAAACAGGTGACAAAGAAGGCATTGAATCAAACTCGGTGATTTTCTTCTCCTGACAGTAATCGGGCGCCAGAGTTAATTGCTTCGGCCTGTTCATCTTCGCGGCATTCTTCGACTCCAAAGCATCTCTTTTCACTTTTGCCCTACGGTTCTGGAACCAGACTTGGACCGCACGCGATGACATTTTTAGTTGTTTCGCCAGCCGAGTGCGCATTTCGGCATCTGGTTTTTGCACGTCCTCGAAAGTGCCGATCAGAACATTTGTTTCCTCTTCGGTGAGGCGACGACGACGTTTCACCTGACGATAAGGGATGATGGATGATGGGTAAGGAAATATAGATCCACCACTAAGTGGAATTGTTGGAGATGGAGGCTCGGAAGAAGAATCGTTTACTAAGAGACTGCCACCACCATTATCTTTTATATCTTGGTCACTCACCATTTCTCTACGAAATAGCGGTTGATGCAAGCTGTCACCAAGGTTTGTTCTACCGGAATTACTGTTACCAATGTTCATCAAACTCGTAGTTGTCGAAGGTTGGTTATAATATTGATCCGATTGAAAAGGAAATGCGGCTATCATTGAATATTATTTAGTATATATAGAGATAAGAAAAAAAGCTGTCCTGAGAGAAATAAAAAAAAAAAGACGATGATGACGTGGTGTGTGACTGCGGGAATATATGCTTATCTACTTTTCTAATTTAGCTGATAGTGAATGCAACGATTTTGATAAATTATTTGTTACTACATATACAAAGAGAACGGTGAAAATGCCTTCTAGGTAAGAAGCAAAAATTTGGTGCTAAAAAAATCGAAGAAATAAAAAAACCAGTAAAATATAAATAAGACAAATTGAAAATATACAAACTTTATATAAAAATGAAAAAGACAAGATATTTATCACCTTTCATTAATAAATTTTTATCTCCCGTCCTGATCCTTCTTCTTTCCTTTAGCTCGCAAAGATTTAATTTATTAAATGATTTATATAATGGATTTTTTTAGAACAGAAATTCAACAGAGGGGGACAAGAATCATTAATCCAACCACAAAAAAAAAAAAAAAACCAGATCAGTTGACGCAACTCAAAACTCCAACATTTTTTTTTTTCTTTTTTGAATTTGTCAGGAAAAAAAAAAATACATCAATGATTTATCAGTTGATTTATAGTTTTTTGTGTGAAAATATATATGTATATATATACATCGGTTTTTAATGAAATTGGTGATAGATAACTACTGCTGCATACGTTTGTTATATTTAATGTCATCTCTATCGATTCATTATTTCATTGTTATGTTATTATAGACATTGAGTCACTGTTTGGACAGTTGCTTATACTATTATACACACCACATTACAATAGTTGTTCGTGAGTGATTACATGGAGCCGAAAACTGATTTCATAATGCGCATGTAAACTTTTTTCAACCATTTCGATTACCATCTACTGCAAATTATCGTTTTCTTATGCCACGTATGGTCATGAGTTTCTTTTTTTTGCCATTAATTAGTCACATCGGGATATTGATGATTTCCCTTATCTTACATTTGATTCTGGCATTTTTTTTCGGAACATAAAAAAAAATGAGTCAATTAGACTTTCTTCACTTGATAATCAAACTTCGATCTAAACTCCTCTCGCGAGTTGTTATCTGCCGTACATCATGATTACGC